TTGAAGCGTATAAGCATGTTCTCATGCTTTTTTGTTGTGAAGGAATCTGTACTTCAAATTATGAATATGTGGTGTGTGATTACTTATTTGTGTTTTCAATTGTAATTTTTACTAGAAATTTGTTATAAAAAAATAGTTGAAAAATTTTCATAAGGAATAAAGAGAGGTAGTGTAAATCATATTTTCTTTTTGTGTTGGTGATATCATCTCTGTGGTTTGTTATATATTCACTTTTATTCTTGGAGAATATTGTATTTTCTATTTTTTTAATTTGAATTAGTTTTGTGAATCTAGTATTTGTTATTGTAAGTTAAAGATGCTTTGGGCATTGGTTGTTGAAGTTACAAGGCTATGCTTATAATTATTTGCTACCAAGGTTGGACTATTATGTCCATTGATGCTAAAGTTTTCACTTTTCACATTTTCTTATCGTGTATTGCATTTTGTATTGACATTAAATATATATTAATTGATAAAGTTTAATTTACTTAATGATATTAATAATGCTATTTTTTTTTGTTTTAACAGTTAATGGGGATTTACATTATGAAAAAAAAAAAACTTGAATACGTTCATAGGTTGTAGAGTAGTAAGTGGTATGATTCATTTGACTCAATTGTTTTATTTTGGTTTTATTAATTCAAGTTGACTACTTATATGGGTAATGGTTAAGGTTAAGAGGACTTGACTATTTTTGTTTTAAGATGCATGTTGGAGTAATTTTACTGTAGTATAATGATAGGGTTGATATTAGTTAGACTTTTTGAAAGATTGTTAATATTAATTTAATCCTTGAAACACATAAGCTAGAAAGTGACATCACATTAGTATTTATATGACCATTCTTTGGGATGCCATCTAACAAAGTTTTACATGACAATTGTAATGTCAACCGCATTTCTAACATGTTTATACAATCTTGACATTTATATGGATGTCTTTATCAACAAATTCATTCTCTAAAATTATGAATAAAACGTAATCTCATTTGTCAAACTCAACAAAAATTGTGAAAACCTAATTCATAAGGCTTTTGTCCCATTTTTAAAGCACCATTACTTTTGTTCAATGATCAATTATGACATATGTCATGCATTTTTTTTCAAGCAAAGCTATAGGAAGGAATCCTACATAAGAGGAAGGAATAATTCTACCTTAGCGGATTGAGTTTTTGGTCAATGAAATCATATCGTAGGGAATTAGAGATTAGAGAGATAATTGTGGGTAGTGATAGCTTTGGTTGGGTACAAGAGATTCTTGCTCTTCTAGGAGTGTTTGTCGTTAGAGAGTATTTCAAATTTTTGGTTCAAGTAGAGAAAGAAATAAGTTGAATTGAGAGATAGAAAAAAATGTTCATATAAAAATTTGATGTAAGCTTCTTTTTAGGGACTAAACTAATGTCAATATTATTTTTTAAGGACTAAAACGAAAGTTTACACCGTATTATTTGGTACAAATAAATGATGAAAGGCAAAAAGGAGATTTGCATAATTAGGGCACACTTAATTGAATAGTAAAACAATGTCAATTTTTTACTAATTTGATATTTATATTTGTAACTTAATGTCACATACCAGTCTTCTTTTACTATGTATTAACAATGTGTGACTAAAAAGACTAAAGTGATTCACAAAGACAAAAATTAAAAACTAATTTGAGCATTTTAAAATCTCACGTTATATAAAAGTGCTCGGCAGCAATAATCTTAAAAACCAAATTGAAGGTTTGATCATTAACAAATCAAGATTATCCAACTAAGTTTTATAACATATGATAAAGATTAACTTATTACATTACAATTAATTGATCAAATAAAAAATACCGTCTCACAAGTATTTTTGGTTTCCTTCACATACACAATTTTTATAGTAGTAATTTGTACTATCAGATCAAATAATATGTTATTTTAATATGTGATTTAAATAATTTTTTGAGTAAAAATGGAATCGAACTGAATTGTAAATACTCTTATATTTAGTTATAGGTTTATTCTTAGGTAGAAAAATGAATAAGATGTATTATGGGTATATAAGGGACAGGTTTTAGAATTGATGGTGTTATTTACTGAACCCTAAATTTTAATTGGGTCCATTTTTAAACCCCAACTCATCCCTAAACCTGAAGATATCCTAATGATATAGACATATATATTTGAATGTAAGGAATCTTTCAATATAATACGTAAAAAGAAAAAGAAATATTATATAGAATAAAGAAATAAGAATATTTAATTAAATAAAAATAGAATAAGAATAGAATTTAAGATATAAAATATAATAAGAATAAAAAATATCAAATCTGAAAAAGATGGATCAGGTTCACACATTGAGGACTAAATTGCTTAATCTACTCATCAATTACACAACAAAACTACCAAGTTCTTTCAATAATATATATATATATATATATATATATATATATATAACTATTTTCATGCACTTTTAAAGATTAAAAATCATATAATTTAAATCATGCTTAACAATTACATATCATCATACAATAAGATTTCTAAGATGTTGCAATTTATTTATATTTCTCTCGTCATACAGCATAAATGTTAAGTTGATAATGAAAATTGTTTCTCACAAACATTTGTGAAATGCGAATACTTAGATATTTAGGATTTGAGTGCAAAATTCTGTGTCTCAAAACTTTTAATCCCATGGGAAATCAAGCAACGCATGAAAGTTACGCTATCTTAATATGTAAACAAATAAAAAAAGGGAGAAAAATAATCAACACCAGTAGTAATCCAAATTCCATTTTAAAGAAACAATCTAGACTAGTAATTATTATATCATGCAATACATTTTCACCAAATAGAAACTAATTTTTTAATTATTATCTTAAATGTGTTATTGTTACTTGTTCATGCAAAAATTTCACATTTAATAAATTATTTTGGTCTAATTAGACTTAGATAATCAAATGTAGTAGTATAAACTTACATTATTATAAAAAAAAATGCCTTAACCTATATATAATATAACAAATCATGTTAATTTAAAAAATTTTCAAACTAAGGGCTTAAATGCAACAAAGTTACTCTAAACCCTAAACCCTAAGCACCAAAGAGCTTCCCCAGATTCAGGTTAATCTTTTTCGGATCAATTTGAAGGTTTAGTTAAATGTTTCACGGAAAATTAGTTCAGAACTTGGATCAATTGCAAAAACTCTATATAATTCAAGCTTTGATAGAAGATCTCGGGGAAGGTGGTTTCTTCTATAATCTTGAATATGCCCACAGATGGTTATTTGACACACTAATTTTTTGCACATCCAATATAAAATTTTAAAACATTTTGAGAATTGGAAAGTAAAATTATAAAGTTTACTAATTTCACTAACTCATCCATACACCACTTAACATGCTAGACTCTTATGAATGCGGAACACAACTAGGTCCACCAAATTAATGCATCGAAAGCTTTGAAGAGCATAGAAGTACTAACGAAAAAAATAATAAAATTCCAAGAAAAAATTGGAGAATTCCAAGATAGTAAATAGAATTCGAAGAATTGAAGTAGTGGAGCAATCAATGATGAAATTAATTTGGATATCCTCGAGAAATTGGGAAGCTGAAAAGGTGGGTGATATGTGAACTGTAACCAACATATCTGTGCTTTTTATATAAACCAAGGTAGACCTTCACATTTTCATCCTTTGCCAAAAGCCTCTCCATCTCATTATTCTTTGCATTGTAAGCGAGAAAGAAAGTTGGGATTGGTTTTAAGTAAAAATGGGTTGGCGCAGATTCCTCTTCATTGTTATTAATGTCCTTCAATTAATTGTCACCGTGGCTTCATTTTTTGGTTGAAAAATGTTGTAGCAATCTGGAGGATCCACAGTGTTATTTAGTAATATGTAGTTTGGAGCAAGGGCTACTTTTCTTGTTTTGTTTAATTTTAAGTTTATTCTCTGTAATGGAGCAATGAATATGAAAGCTTGACTTCTTTAGATTTGCGTTAGAAACTGTTCTCCCCCTTTTTCCATGTTTGCCTTTTCATTTGTTTGAGTGTAAAATGAATTTAGCTCGCGTGAAAATCTCTGTATTGAATATCTGAATTTGAATTTTGAAACGAGTGAAGATCATTATTGTACAAATACTTGGGTTAAACAAGTCATATTATAGACACATCTACAAAATTTCAGAACTTAACATTAGCTACATAGCCAACAATAATAATTGTAAAGGAACATGGATGCTCACAGATGCAGAAATTCCACGTTACCACAGCCCGGTCAAACAGTTAATCTGTGTAAATCATATATAGCGTTTGTGGATTTGTTTAAATGCCTTTTAAATGCTTATAAATCTACTTTTTCTTCAATGCCATTGCTTTAAGCTTTTTCGTTGACATCCACATTTACAAGTTCTCTAATATGCTTTCAAGCATGCTAAATCTTAGATTAAACTTTTGCCTTCGGTTTTTGCTTTCTATTCAATTTTTCACCCTTATTAATCCATTGAAATTCCATGGCTATTGTCTTTTCTGCTCTCACAATGGCTGCTAAAGAAGACCAAGCTACCTGTGTTTTTTTGGACATACAAGACAACTTCTTTAATGCTCCTTATATCATAATCATAATTCTGTACAAGACAATTATATATCAATTTCTTTTTTTATATCATAATGTTATATACATAGTTAAAAGATAATGACTGAAATTATGATAAAAGGTACATATCCATATAAAAAAACTAAGTTGTTAAAATATAATAACCCGTTGATTTTACAGTTAAAGCTACATCCTTAACAGTCACTCTTTTATGCCTTTTGGAAGGTTTCCTTGCTTGCAGATACCGTCTCATTCGACAATCAAATTTATCTTTCCTCAACAGCATAAAAGAAGCTTGATATATCCATTTGATATGGCTATAAAGCCAAAATATCGAAAATGTAAATTTATAACATGGAAATGCCCAGAGCCAACTCCTATAAGAATTCATGAATAAACAAGCAGCCTGAAATTCTACACTCAGATCAACCTATAATATAAAGAACCTAACAAGTATTTTACACATTTTAACATGGGTATGTGACAAAAAGATTCTTGCCTCGAACAAATATCAATACATAGGATCAAAGTCATTCTTTCTGGAATCCTACCTTTCAATCTTACCTTTTCCAAACCATTCCTCCATCTCTTCATCGTCAGTATTTTGATTATCAGCAGAACAAAACTCATCATCAGTACTATGGTTATCAGAAGAACAAAACTCATCATCAGTTTCACCTTGCCATAAAGGCCTTGTGCACCGATTTGGCAACTCTTTCTTGTATGCTTCTCTCTTTTGTGCCTCAGACAACTCAGTCTTACCTCCAGTAATACGAAAATCTACAAACTGAGAAGGGTCATTTGACTTGCTTAAGAATTTGCTATTTTCATTTCTCTCCTCTACAAATCTCCACATAGGTGAATCTCTCTTCTTGTTCATTCTTTCAAACACCATTGGTGATTTGTCTCTACTATCATCCTGGTGTACCACAAAAGTGAATTTGCTATTCTTATGGTGGTCTTCATCTTCTTGTTGAGGTTGAAGAGAAGAGTTTGAAGCCTTTGACACTATCGGTCGTCTATGATCACATTTCAGGCAAACCATGTTTCTTCTGAAATTAAGGTAGTTGCACCTACACAAATAGGGTTTCAATCATCTCAATAGCAAGCAAATACAAAAAGACTGCGGTCATTTTTCACATCAACTGAAACAAAATAAAAGATATCTATGAAGAACCTACGAGTCACATTCCCACTCCCCCGGATTAAGGTGACGGTTGGAAGGTCTCTCTTTGCATTGTAAACATCTTGTATTTCTTGCAAAATTTAGGAAGTTGCATCTGCATAAATCAAATATGATCATAATTAGAAATTAAATATTAGTGTCAAATAATGTTACATGAAATTGACAGTCACTACTTATTGCATATCCAGTCTCCCTTCTTCAAAGGTAGGTGATTGTTATCCTCTTGCAATTGCTTGATTCTTTCCTCAAAGAAGCAGTCACAGCGCAAGCACTTGATATTTCTTGCAAAGTTGATGAAATTGCATCTAGACAAAGAAAGATAAAAATGAAAACCTAAACAAATGCAGGAGAAAATAGTACAAGATTTAACACAAAATAATTACAAAGTGGAAATTAAGCTCTACTTGGGGCAAACCCAGTCTCCTTGCTTCATTGGAACATCTATTTTGCCCTTGTTTTGCGGATTGAGATGCACATGTCCAATGGCAACCCTTGTTGTGTCTGGAAAATTAGAATTTTCGTCTTCAGCACTATGCTCTACTATTTCTTTCAGCAGTCTTCTAACAGATTCTTCTACCTTTCTAGTTAGACATGATTTGTTCTCCACTGAACCAATAACGGGGTCAAGCCCATGAGTCAAAATGATGCGCATAACATCCACTGTTCTTCCACCTTCATCTTCACGTGCCTTCACAAATGCCCTTTCACAGTCCCCCCTCAAATTGCAAGCGCTGCATACCTGATCAAAGCACCAGTCATACAACTTCTAGTTACTGATTTAAGGCAAGGAAAAAATTTTGGAGAGAAAGTTGCGAAATATAAAATAAACAAAAGTAAATGATTATAGAAACTCAGGTCATCACTTACATTTCCCTCATCAATACCCACATATGCTCTCAGGCGCTTTCCTGAGTTGATCACTTTCCTATCTAAGCTCGGACATCCAAATGCCACAGTAACTCCAATATCTTTTCGAGACAAGAATCTGAGAGCAAAGTCAATTGTAAAATACACTTGTGGATAAATATTGTTTTCCCTCACAACAAGGAATTTACTAAAAAAAAAAACTAGTGCCTGAATTACCATTGCCACTTAAAATACCGTTAAATCACCAATATAAAAATGAGTTCATTATCAAGACACTCATTCGAATCCTTAAGTCCACAAAAAGGACAGAGGAGGAGTGGATTCAGTACTAAAAATTCCTATCTACACATACGGCAGCTCTCATACCCAAACCCTTGCTGACTTGAGCGTTGGAGTGTTTTTACAAGAACACACTCCCCTTCAGCCCACGGCGTTGAAGAACCACCGCAAGATAAGAGAAACCGTTGCAGTGTATTGTGTTCAGGCCTTACCCCTACTTAGGTACTGAACAAAATGTACCCAAAAATCATCATTGTGATTATTAAGGTGATTTAAAGCGTGAACAGAAGGGGGAAATTTCGTGATTTGTTAATCGAAACTAATTGCCATTACACTGCATGTCAGAGTTCTAAACTCAAACACCTTGCATGCACAACTTAAAAATCATGACAAAATCTTTCGCGAACAGAATAAACTAGCAATATTACACAAATACAAACAAGTGTTTTCGCTTTTGCTTTATACCTTAGAAGATGAAAGTGGTCTCTACCAAAATTGAGGGAAGCGGTTCTAACAAGATTAGAATCTTTAGCAGTAAATTGAAATGGGTTTCCTTGAAAGTGTCCTTTATTGAGCAAGCACTTCATGAATTCGACCCATTCAGGCCAAGGATGCAGAATCTGAAGCTTGTGTGGTTCTTCCCTTTCGACAAAGTGTAGCTTCGAAGATGGAGAGAAAGTGGTACTGTGAATTGGTGAGCAACTGAGCAACGCGGGATCCAAACCCGTGTGACAACGTTTCCAAACGTTTCGGAGCATACTACGTTACGTTCGGAGTTACTTCTGTTGCACCAAACTAAATTTTTGAGAGGAAACACAATGATTTTTCCATTGTAAGATATTTTTTTAAAAGAGTAAAACCTAAATCATGCTTCTTTTCAGTGTTTGATTTTACAATAATTTTACTTCACTGTTGGGTTTTATAAGACTTATCCATTTTTTTATTACATAATTTTAATAATTTTAAGCATTAAAGGGAATAAAATATTATAATATTTTATAAAATCAAACAGTAAAATATTATTTTTATAAAATTAGATAGTAAAATAAATAATACTTCTATTTTGGAGAGTAAAATAATTATTTATATAATATTTTTTTTAAATTGTTCACACAATTTAGAGAGAGAAGAGAAATGTTAAAAGAAAAAATTATAAATATGATAATTAATATCATTAAAAATTATAAAGTAGGCTTAAGGTGCATATAAAAAAAATGTAAAAACATAAAGTTATTTTATACTTGTCACGGAATATTTAAATTACTTGCAGAGGGTATGATTTTTTTGCTGTTATAAAACATAGCAATCGATTATTTTAATAAAATAGATGATAATCAATGTATGTTATAGGATATAGATATTTTTTTAATTTTCACTGGAATTCATTCTATATTTTATTCAAAGGATACTTAATAATTAAACAAGTGAGAGATTCCCGACCATCTCTCTTCTTTCTATAAGTTATGTTATTTTCACCCAACCATCTTCTAGACTAGTTTTGACCCCACCATACTAGAGTTAGAGACTCCGAACCTCTTATAGCTCCACACCAAGAAGGGGTATCTTTAAAAACGAATTAGTGATTGGTTATTCAAACTTATTTACAAGTTTTACAAAAAGGATAAAATAAAAATAGTTATAGAAAGACTTTTGTTACATTTCTGCCCAAAAATAACTAGACATGGGATTGAATGTTTGATAATTAGATTAGAGAAGGGGAGAAGAATAAATATTTTATTTTTAAATTTAAAGGGTTATCCTAATTTATTTGTAAAAAATATATAAAGTTAAAAAATTATAATTAATAATAAAAAAATTGTTTTAGCATTTCTAGTTTGTGTCCTATTGCATCAACAATCACTCTTTATTCTTATGAGTGTTTGGGATATCACACAATGCATCACAATGTCTTTCACAAGAAAAATAAAAGAAATAACTTATTGCACTAATTGCATGAGAGATGTTTGGACAAGTAATAATAACTAGTAAGGTAGTTCAACTTAATAACTAGACTCCTATATTTCTTTAGATAAGAAAGAAACTCCTCATGACTTGACAGAAGTTTAGAATTGAGATTCATAGAAATATTCATAAGTTTAACACCCATAAAACATGTTTCTTCATAAGATACTTAGTACATACTTTTGTTAGGAAATATTAATATCATTCTTGGATTATGACATATCTATTCCCAAAAAGTATTGAAGTTTACCTAAGTCTTTTGTCTAAAAATAATGACATAGATGTTGTTTCATTTGTATGATGTCAAAATGATCTCTACCAATAAGAAAAATATCGTCAACATAAACAATCAAATAAATGTATCTTATGATTAAATGACGATAGAAAATTGAGTCATCTATTTCACTTTGAGTCATCCCAAACTTTTGGATTACAACATTGAATATGTCAAACTATGTTGTAAGGAGATTGTTTTAGGCTATACAGAGATTTTTAAAAATGACTACCTAATCTGAAAGACTCATCTTGAGTAACGAAGTCAACAAGTTGCTCCGTATAAACTTTTTTTTGTTGGGATCACCATGAAAAAAAAAACATTCTTGATGTCAAGTTACCAAAGAAGTTAATGACACGTGGTAGCCATAAGAAAACATATGTCATTTTGGCTATGGGAGAGAAAGTGACACCATAAATCAAGTCAAAGATTGATCTTTGGCTTCTATATGAGCCTTAAGGCAATCAATCTGACCATTGAAGCTAACCTTAACTATGAAAATCGATATGCATCCAACAATTATTTTTTGCCAATGAAAGAGGAACAAGTTCTTAAGTACCATTTTCTTTAAGTACATTCATCTCATCAATCATTGCTTAACACCAACTAAAATGTAAAAAAAATTTATCTGAATATTTAGGTGTAGAAACAAAAAATAAAGACAAAAGACAAATATAATAGAAAGACGATAAATGGTGATATGACAAAGTAACTTAATAAAGTGAAGGGTTATGAGTCGAACATGTAATATTACAAAGAGTAATAGAAAGATTAGTTTCAAAAAGGTTAGAGGAGGTAAAGAAGTTGGAGTCAACAATGAATTAGATGAAGTCCCTTCACTAGCTAGTGGTGGTGTAAAAGGTAATTGGTGTTGGCAAAGATATACTTGTAAAGGATGTTGAGAATCATTTGGTGGAGGTAGTGTTTCTAGTGGTTGAAAAATAGGTGAAAAGGACTCAAACCTAAAAAAAACAAACAAACTCAAAGAAAGTAACACCAACTAAGATAAGATAATGTCTAGGAGTAGGTGAATAGCATGTATAACCTTTTTAAGTTTGAAGACACATTTGTGAGTATGAGGCAAAATTTTGTCAACCCATAGACTAAGCATAGGAATAAATGTAACAAAATAGAGAATAATTTGGAACAATTTCTCATTAAAAAAATTAAGTGCAACAGGAATAATCATAAATAAATGTAACAAAATACATAAATTTTAAGGTAGATATAATACGACTAGGACCTCAAAAATCTAAATGGACCAAACTAAAAGGAGACACAACTCGTACATTAACACGACAAGAAAAAAGACTTACAAATATGTTTTCCTAATTAACATGACTCACAAGAAAAGTAGATAATGTAAAGAGATACAACACAATTTATTGTATCTTCTAAAGACTAGGATATGCTCCAATTGAGCATGAAGAAAGGAAAAGAGAATTCATCACTAAATTAGCATAAGCAGAGGGACGAAGTTGATATAGTTCATTGACTCACGTCTGGCACTAATCATTTGCTCTGAACTCTAATCCTACATAAAAGAAAAGTCTTTAGTGAACAAAATCACACAATTAAAAGAACAAGTAAGACAAATTATAGATAGAAGATTAAATGGAGACCTGAGAACATATAAGACATTATTAACTAAGAGTAGTGAAAGTGGGTAAACAATATTAAGATTCTGAGTGTAACACCCTCTTTTTCATTATATAGTAAATTATATTTTGTTTAATATTAAGCAATATTAGAATGCATTTATAAGTGAGTATGAAGGATTTTTAGAAAGATTTTGGTGCAAAGGGCCTCACTTAGGCGAGATAAATCTTGCTCAAGCGAGACAGAGTGCTAAAAAATATGATGTTGTAGGGCTATCTCGCTCAAGTTAGATAGGATAAATTCAGCCCAACTGTCACCTCGCTCAGGCGAAAATGATCTCACTTAGGCGAGGACTCACAGAAAAAATATCTTACTATCTGGACGTTATCTCACTCAGGCGAGATGTAGCTCGCTCGAGCGAGCATATTAGAAAATGTTGGGCGAAATTACTATCTACATATCTCGCTCAGGCGAGATATCTGTCGCTCAAATGAGTTGTTCCTCGCTTAAGCGAGAATGCGCGAGACTGATGGGTATTTAAGAGATTTCTAGCATAAAAATTTTGTTTCATTCCAAACTCACGTTCTCTGAACTCCTCCTTCCTTTTCTCTAGAGAAAAGCCTCATAAACTCTGATTATTCTTTAAATCCGAGCTTAGACATTGAACATAGACGATTCTATTTAAGTTTTTCCAAATTAAATTTTGTTTTCTTCGATTGTTTTTCATATTTTCATTTCTTACGGATATCTCTTGGTACTCAGCAGAACTTCCATCTTTGAACTCTAATCTTCTTCAATATCTCTCCGTAAACTTGTTTTTGAGGTAAGGATGACTCTATTTTATCGTTCTATTTTAGTATTTATTTTGTGCTCATTAAAGCACTGTTATATGAATATTTCATGAAAATATGTAGTTGAAATATCTATGGTGTTAATAATGAATGGAAATTTACTTGTTTGATTGCGTGAACTGATTAGTTATTTGGATTAAATGGTTGTTACATGCTTATATGCATTATACGATGAACACTTAATGTGAAATATTATTAAACTTACTGAGTGATTATGATGTGATTTTATGAAATATGTTTGGATGAAATGATATGATAAAATATAATATTGATATGAAGAATTTAATAGTTGTAACTACAATAATAAGGGTATGAGTGGAATAAATTTAGTCAGGAAGTGCTTTATTAAGCATGATCTTATGAATGGGAAAAAATATAACTCTAAAAATGACTTTAAATATCGAATATGGATTGGATCTAGTGTGAATAGTTACAGAGATACACTGGGATATAGAGTTCGGTGACAATGAGAAATCTGGGAAAACGTAGAGTAGTGAGCGACATTCATGTATGTGTACATACTTTTTTTGAGAGCGAATGTGCCACTTGGCCTCACACTCATTTCTTGACTAGACTCCTGACTACGTCTTTGCTAAGGAGTCTGATTATTGTATATGTTGTATCCGTGTGTATGGGCTAATCAACGACTATTTACCTAGTTGAGTAATACCTCAAAAAATGTTGGAGACATCGATATTTATGATCATAGTGCACTGAAAATGCATATTGGTATAATAGAATGGATAATGTACCACTACATGTTGAATTGTGTATGTATGAATATGTTTGCAATATGAATAAGTGTGAAAATCGATATATTGTATTTATACTATAAAATATGATTATGTGATATAATATTTTGGTAAATGATAGAATAGACGCTCATCCTTACCAATAATTT